GCCCCGGCCGCGGCTCCCGCCCTGCTGGCGGCGGGGGCAGGGGAGGGCCGGACCGGGCCGGGTGTCGCGGCGCTTCCGCATCCGTCTGCCCCTCTGCGAAGGGGGCCTGGCTCGGCTGGGAGACCCCGGCTCCTCTGCCCTGGGGTGACTTGGTTGTGCCTGTCCCTTGGTATCAACAGGCCTTTGGTGCCTAGCAAAAAAAGAAGCCGGGGGGTGGCGGTGTGGGGGGCTGTGCTCGCCCCCGTGCTGCACAAAGCCAGATTGTAACAAGCCAGAGAGCAGACCTCCATAAACGCCCAAGCATTGTCGCATTTGAAGTGTGGTCCTGGCCTCTGCGGCGACACCCACCTGGTGAAGTGCAGTCAGGCCAGAGACTTTCCATTGGGACTTATCAGGGTGCTGCCAAAGAGCTATCTGCTATCGGGGAAATGGGGAACGGACAACTTCCTCTGAACTTGAGAGAGCCCCTGAGCAGAGCTGTAACTGGAAAAAATGCCACAGTTGCTTTCCCAATCATACCAGCCCTTCAGGTTTATGCTTGGCATGCAGAAGCCAGGCTTCTCTTGTATAAATGTCCCACTTCAAATAAGCCCTTTGTTCAGCTTGGAAATGAAGGCAGGCTGTCGGTGGCAACTCTCAGCTGTCTGCCACATGGTGATCAACATGTCACAAGCACACAGGACTGCCAATAGGAAACTAAAAAAAATAATTGTTGTTGCTTGCCTAGCATGGGAAAACAAGAAAATCCTTGCGCTAAATGAATATTAGATCTTTAAATGGCTTTATTACAGAATTTCCTTTAATGAGACCCTGCTTCAAGTATTGTATAAATGTTCTAGTTTCCACTTTCACTGAGAGCTCCTCATTGTGTTAGAAAATGGGGAGGGAGGGAGAGAGGAGGGGAGTGCCAAAAAGCAAAGTACTGTGGAGCCTTGTTAGGAATAGAAACAACTTCCGTGGTGCTCCGGTAGGCAGACAACCACAGGGCTTCAGTGATTTCTGAAAATTGTGATTCCTTAGCATTGCTTATCTATCATTTAGTAGATCTTTTTTTTTTTTTTTCACATAAGAGAGTAACTTTAATTGTTACAAAATAACTTTTTATTTAGGACAAAAATGTTACACAAGTGCACGATCTGGTAAAACCTTTTTTATGCACTGCTTTCTTAGGAGACTCAAAATAGAACATTAGAAATAAACTGCTCTGAGCAGTAGGGCAGGTGACATTGTTTTGGGCAGTTGTGGTCAGGGAGACTGACCACAACTGAATAGTGTCTTGCTTCAAAAAAGCTTACTCAGTACTGGAAGTAAGGGGAAAAATAACAGTTCCTTCACCAAAATATGGTTAAAGTTATAGTTGGGCACTGCAGTACTTCTGATGTCATTGTTTTCTAGGAGATCTGCTTCATTTAATATTTGCATAACTTTGCTTTCAGACTGCTAGTATATAATAACACTTCTCTGGCAAGCTACAGTGTTGTGTTTTGTTTTTGTTTTTTTGGTGGGGGGGAAGGTTACAGCATACAATATGTTCTAATAATATCTTTTATTTTACCTCCATCAGCCTTCTGTTGCGGTTCACAGATGATACATTTGACCCAGAACTTGCAGCAACAATTGGTAAGTATGTGCTGACCTTAATTTGGAAAATTCTTAGTAATTGTAATGGCAAACAGTAGCTTGTCAGCTTGTATAACTAGTACTGAGGTACAACTTTCATTGGTTCCTTACTGCATTTATAAATCTGTAGTGTGTAGTTCATGTGCTGTGACTGAGTCCAGAAACATTTACCACGAGTGTGATGTAAGAATGCATCATGTGCAAAATTAGTCCAGGATTGAGACCATATAGCCTTCTACTTTCAAGAATGCAAAAGTACATTTATCTCCTAAGCAAGGATGTCCAGTGAACACAGTATGGAAGTGTTGATGCTACAGCTTATTTGCACAGCTTTGTTAGCATTAAAACCCCAGTGGTGTTGTTCCTGAACTTGTTAGAACCAACCTCTGTGGAAAAGGCTATTAGAAAACTCTCTCTTCAAGGCTAACAGAAGATGCAAACTGTTATTTTTAATAGGAATAAAAACTATAGGACTTGTATTGGGACTGGATGCTTAGGTGGTGATCTAAGAAACTAACACTTAAAATGTTTGAACACTTTACTAAGGCATGTGGTTTTCCTGTTCCAAAAAGCTTGACATTGTATTGGGTCTCCAGCTGCTGTCTCCCACTCCTCCCCTTTAAAAGAGGAGATAAATTAACATATGAATAAAAGGACATCCTCTTACTGGCCTCAAAACAAACTTCAGTTCTTGACTAGCTGGGGCAAGCGAATACTGAATAAAGAGTAGGGTTGCCTTAAATGCTGGAAAGGGAACAACCTTATTATGCCTTTGGCATGCCAGGATAGTATGGACAACAGTTTCACCCAGTATGAATTATGTTGTGAAGGAGAAGCTCCAGAATGAACAGAAATCTACCTGTGGTAGTTAAACTTTAGAGCAGTTGCCCATACTCAAGCTAAATGAACATTGGAGCGCATATACATCTAAACTGAGTCCACAAATCATGTTGACTGTACTAGTTAGCCTAACTGCAAGAGAGGTTCTGATGGAAGGCTTGGAAGAAACTGTTTTTTATTTAAATCAGTGGAGGTGGCTACTGATAGACAGATGCTAATTTTAAGACAAAATTGCTTCATTCTTTATATAGATTTCTAACTTGATTCCTTTTTTCAAAAAAAAAATTCAGTTGGTTATCTGGTATCCTATAAGGTAACCCAATGGTTGCAGCTGCCTCAAGACTGAATTGGCTTGATCTTGGTGTCAAAGCATAACTGCCCCAGTAACTGAAACTTTAGAATCAGTTGTTAACAATATAGTAGTAATACTTTGGCTGTTATGAGACCTTGAAGGTAATCTAGGAATTAACACTTTTACAAGATATCTCTTAATGCTTTCTTCCTCTTCATTGTTTGTAGCTTGGGGTGGAGAAAGAGGTACCCTTAGGTTAGGGGTGGGAAGAATACGGCCTGTGGGCCGTATTCAGCCCATGGGGCCCCTAAAAAAATTCTTGAAAATTAAAATTTCTGTCCTTGGTTCCTGTCAAAAATGACAGGACACGGGGGAATCCTCAATGGGCTCCTGCAACAGCAGGACCTGTCCAGCGCCCCCCCTGCTAGAAGCCCCAGGAAGGGCTTCTGGCCTGCCCTGGTGCTGAAAGCTCAGGTAAGCGGGGGGAGGGCAGGGAATGAGCTGGTGCAGAGAGTGGGAAAAGCGGCCCTGCCCCATGGCCTGCGCTCTCTGCTGCAGCTGCTCACAGCCTACACGGGGGTTGTCCTGAGCAGGCACAGGCACCCCCATGCAGGCTGCGAGCGGCTGCAGTGCGAGGTGCCCGCCACGGGGCGGGGGAGGGGCTGCTTTTCCCCCACTCAGCACCAGTTTGTAACCTGCAGCTGCTGCCAGCCTGGGGCCTGCGCCGGCTCTGGGCTCGCCTGTTGGGGCTGTGCTACAACGGCAGCAGTTGCGGCCCTCCTGCTTGCTGCGCTAGGCAGTGGTTTCTGCTGCTGCCTGCCCGGAGCTTGCGTTGCAGTACACTGTGGTGAGGCTACCACTGCTGCCTCTGTGCTGCCCAGTGTGTCGATTTCACAGGGAATGCTTTATTGGAGTTGTAAAAGATGGATGCCTGGAAGCATGGGGATCAGTGGAAATGTTTAATAGGGGATCTAGATAAAATGTTTAGAATTAACATCCTAGAGATGAATGGCTATTTACATAGTTCTTGCTTCAGTTTGTTTGTATAAATTGTCAAGTACAGACTCTTATTTCCAGAGTTTAGAAACTCAGTTTAAAAAAAACAAGACTTGAGCTCTTGTGCAAGACCTAGACTCTGTGGGTAGGTTAATTACTTATGGAATTAAATGTCCAAAGCTAGTAGCACAGCAAGTTTTAAATTGTGAGGAACTATTTCATATAGATAACTGTTAGTGAATTCAAGCAATGTGATGCTACTTTGGATAGCCTTAAAATTGGAAGTTGTGTAGATACAGTGGAGTCGCATCTTACACAGGGGTTATGTTCTAAAGTCGGCGCGTAAAGTGAAAATCGCGTAAGGCGAAAAATTGGTGACTATGCGTGGGGTGGGAAGGGGGCAGGGCTTGAGTTTGCACATGGCACAGCCATGCTTAGAGCTGTGCGGCCGGCGGCAGCGGCGCAGTGCAGGGTGGTGGTGGGGATGACTGCGTGCTGCCCGGCCACCACCATGTTGCTGCTGCTGCCCAGCAGCTGGCCACACAGCTCCATGGCGACAGCGGGAGGTTTTGGAGGCAGTGGCCGTCACTGCCATAATGGGCCACCAGGTAAGCTGCAGCGCCATGTGCAAACTCAAGCAAACATTACTAATTGGCTTCATGGTTGAAAAGCCCTCAAAGGGATGCACAAATTACATGTACAAACCAAACTTTTCCTTCTGAATATGCTCCACTATAACCTGTGTGCATTGACTGCAACCTTAGTTTTACAGTTATCATCAATGACTCTTATAGATGGTAACTAAAGCCAGCAAAGATCACCTAAGGCAGGGGTGGGCAATTATTTCGGGCAGAGGGCTGCTTACCCAGTTTTGGCAAACTGTTGAGGGCTGCATAGGTAGCCCCGCCCCTTCACAGGTGCTCCACCCCCATGTCACCATCTTGGGACCAATATCCCAATGTCTTGGGATGTTAATTCTAAACATTTTATGTAGATCCCCTATTAAACATCTCCACTGCTTCCCATGCTTCCAAGCATCCATCTTTTACAACTCCAATAAAGCATTCCCTGTGAAATCAACACACTGAAAACTCAAAATGCGAGCACAGAAGATGAAAATGTATCATACTAATACACTTGTAACTTAAGCTGAACAAGAACAAGGCAGTCTTTATATAAAACGAGTTTCAACTGAGAGTTTGACTGTTATCTTGTGTAGATGAGTGTTTGTTTGTCTATGACGCTAAAGAGCATGGTTGAGAGGAAGGTGTGTAAGAGTAGAAGCTGGAGGGACCAGACATATCTCGTTGTGACACTTGTGAGTTTGCTCAAAATTCCAAATGTTGCCTTCATGAGCTTGTGTATTTCTGAAAAGCCAGTAGATGCCACTACAGAAGTCTGGTTGTCTAGTCTCAAGCTGAACCAGTGATGCACTGTGAGAGAGGGCTGGCATAAGCTCATCCCTCAAGAGAATTCATAATTGTGAAACATACTTGAAGATGGTGCAAGTAAGGCTCTTAAGTCTCCAGCAGGGGCAGTGGTAAAAGTGCACCTATTTCCTCAGCCTCTTGTGTTGGCAGCTATGTTTTAACCTACATAGCATTACATTCTTAAGTGCTGGCCTCCTCCAGTGACTTGCTTATGAGCCAACTGTCTCTAACTCAGGACTTCTGAGCAAGAAGGTGACTGAAAGTTTGAGATGCCTACATTCTTTCAGACATCTACTCCTAAACTGATTTATGTTAATAGAACTACTTCTTCCCCCAAAATAGAACAAAGTTTGCTTCTGGCAACAAACCTAACTTGTGAAACAAGTACAGAGTGCAAGACTTAATCTGTTTTGGGATAGGGCTGCATTGGCAAATTGTTGGCTGCTTGTTCTCCTAGTGTTGTCTGCAAAGGCATAATTGTTCTGATCTAGTTGTGTATTTTAATATAGACCGTGCCTGCACAACAGCTTTTGGTAGGCCTTGAAGTTTTAGCACAGCTGTGGCAGGATTTGTGAGCTTATCTCACCTTAGAGGTCTCTGGTTGCCTCTTGTCCTTCGGTTGTTCTAAACTTTCTTCAGCTGCATCAACCTGAGCCAGGTCACTGTTTAGTATAATGTGAAACTGCGGGATGCCACTCCTGTGCAGTATCATGTGGAAATTGCTGCCTGCTGGATTGGATTTGAGGTTCACTTCTTTCAGCACATTTTAAAATGGCAGCTACCTGCAGGATAAGGACTACTTTGTTCAGCTCTAATGGCTGAAGATTGTTTTTGAGTAGAAAGTCTGAGTTCCTCCTTGTATGTCTGGTATAAATAAACGGCGAGTAAAATCCTGGTCCCAGTGAAATCAATGAGAGTTTTGTCACTGATTTACTCAGACTAGGGTTTCACCTTTATGGTGGCTAACTATGCAACTGTGAATTTAGACATGATTGTTAGGGTGCACTATAAAATGCAAATATAAACAGTCAGTTATCCCAAAATACTCTTGCATGACCATGTAGCTTCTAGGGTAAGGAAATCCTAAATATGATTGACTTCCCCACTAGCTTCAGTTGGTAATCTGCTCCCTCACAACATTGTTCTGCAGTATAATTGCTATCAAAATGTTACATTCCACCACAGGAAACTTTCAGTAATACCAGTATATTAAATTGTATGATGTTAAATAGATGTGTATGATGATCTTTTGATCTTTCTGGATGGGGGCAAAGGGGAAGCAAGCTGCAGTACTAACATAAGAAATTGCTGTGTTCCGAGTTTGTGGATTGTGTTGTCTGCTTGTCTTGTATCAGTAGATGTTAATTGTTTGACCCCCTTTGCAATGGCATGTTGTAAAACCTACTAGTGTAACAAATGTCTGTGCTCTCTTGCAAGGTCATAATTCTCTATAAAAAGGTTTCTCATTCAAACAAATGAACAAAGACTAAAATAAAATAGTAATAGCTTAAACACTTATTAGTTGATAGTCTCTGTAACTGTTTTACATGACATTGCTATGTTCATCAAGTTGTACAGGCCTTTAAAAAAAATTCTGTTAGTTTTCAAGACCTCTGCAGCTTGCCAGAAACCTAGTCTAGCTGAGCAAGCAGGTGTAGAGTAAGAAGTGGCTTCTTGTAAAAGTAAGTCTCTTATTTACACCTTCTGTTGCCTTTACTCCTTATCACTTTCAAAGGGCTTAAAATATACTTTGATTCCAAATAAGTAATTAGAATGTTGTAAAAGTATTAAAGAAAAACGGCATATAATCATACATTTAAAAAAATTGCAACCTTAACATTATTTTATTAAATACTCCAAGAAAAACTTTTAAAGAGTCTGTTAGTACTAACTTGGAAAAATATGGAATTCCATCCTTATCAAAGGACTTACTGCCAAAGAAGCATGTGTATCTTCAAGTCTGTACAATCTGAATAACTGTAATCAATGGAGAAATCTTGAGCCTGTTCCTGGGTCTACTATATCAAAGTAGAACTAGAAAAAAGCTAGTGTGAGTTTTTAGAACGAGAAAAATGTCTATCAAATGTTTAGGGCACACACCTTAATTTTAAGATGCGGTGTTGTATGTGAGAGAAGGTTTCAAGTACCCTCATAACCAGAGATCCTGGTTTTTTGTTTTTTTTTTTGTTTTGTTTTCTGATTTAAAAACAAAAAAACAAACCAACCCCAAATCCACAATTAAAATGAAATGCTGCTATGTGTATAGCTATCAGTTGAACACAATGTTTTATTGATATATTTACAATTTGTAAAGCGATTTCAAAGCCTACCAGTGCCTTAATTGCTATGATATAATAAAATAAATTCTAAACACCTGTAAATTTTGGCATTTGATTTTTGGGGGTTTTTTATCATGGAAACTCAGCTTCCCCTACCCCCTTTGCTCACTAGGACACAGGTCCAGCTGCAGCTATTTCCCCCCACCCCTTCCTGCTTTGTGGTGCTGAGCAGCCCTGATATGCTGGTGCCCATCACTCCCCACCTGCAGGCCCCCCATCCCCACCAGCCCTGCCAGAGGGGGGCCCCCAACTGCCACAGCTACAGGGCCAGGGACCCAGGTCTGCAGCCCCTTCCTCCCCACAGTAGTGTCTGAGCCCTGGCTGCTGCCCATGGTCAGTGGCAGCTGCTACCAGCCAAGCGGGGAGAGGAGCACAGAGCCTGGCTCCCTCTTCCTCATTAGTGGCACGGCCTGGGCAGGGGTGGGTGTGGGCTGCAGGCTCAGGTTCCCTGACCTACTGCCCAGCCCGTGGGGCCTCCGCAGGCAGGACAGAGCAGAACAGGGCTGGGCAGGGAAACTTTGTTGCTGTGAGCCCTGTGCTGCCCTGGCGAGGTGCCCCTGCCTGCCCAGCAGCAGCAAGGGGCACAACTCTGTGCTGCCACCCCACTGCTGCTGGGCAGGCAGGAGGTGCCTCACTAGGGTGATGCGGGGCTCACAGCAGCAAGGAGCTGCCCAGCCCAGCCCTGCTCTGTCGTGCCAGGTCCTGCCCGCTGGGCTGCAGAGGCTCCAGAGGGAGGGTAGCAGGGTGGGGAACCCAAGGCCGCAGCAGGCAGCCCACCCCTGTCCTGTGCACAGATCTGGGGGGCACATTCCCCCCCCGGGCCCTTCTGGGA